ATCTACTTTAAATGTACCATGTTTTTGGGCTAAAACAGCATAACTTATGTGGGAAGTGTAACCCCCCCTTCCCATATTTAAGGTTGTAAAATCTTGTCATAATCACTCAAAAGATAGACATTTTTGTATATAACCGCTCTGCGTTTGTTAACTGTAATAGGAAAGGTGATTCTCAGTCAGAGATTACAAGGATCCCACAGATCTGTCAACTTTCAGTTAAAGAGAATAATCTTGCAAAAGTTTAGGAGTAACGGATGGTTATAAATCACAGTTTGGGAGTGTGACCTTTGACATGGGATGGTCACACAGACAGTTAATAATCTGGATCGCTTTGTTAAGCGCAATGCTCTTGTGTCACTATTTGTAGTTGAAATGCAACACAAAGATGAAACACTAATAACTCAGTACCGTGCTCATCGAATACATCTATTGTGGTTTGTAGGTTTCACTCCATCATTAAAGTCTGTATCAATGGCGCGGGGTCACTTTAAAATAGACACCCATGAATGGAGTCCCCTCTATGTTGAAAACAACAAAACTTTTGTAAGGGACGGCATGCTTGTATGTATGTATGTGTAACTGTTTCATTGAATGGGTTACCAGAACAACCAAGTCTTTGATTTGTGGGATGAATTTTTTTTGTGAAAGCCAATCGCTTTTGACGTGACTATTGACTACAATATTGGAGGTAGTACTCATGCACCTGGGGCCAACATTTTCAATATTACCAGTCCAAATGTGGTTGAATTGGATTCAATTTCAGAACTTTTAAGTGCTGTGATGACGCTACGTGGTTTACTATTGGATTATACATTAGTAATGATTCACTCATATAGCGTCGTTTACGAGTATTCTCATACTTCGCTGTGGGATTCAGATGTGCTATTACGAGTATTCTCGTACATCGCGTCTTAAGGGTTAAATAAAATAATCAAGTTATTGAGTCAAGGACATATATCCTTGCTGTACTCGGGAAATAAGTCATTTGAAGACAAATCAAGACCTATTAGATCTAATCACTCTTGCAATCCAGAGTATTTTACATCTTCCCTAATCACTCGCATTACTATGCCCTGGAGAGCCATTCCTAGCTCACCAACTATTTTCAAAAAAGAATGCCAGTGAATTGTAAAATTTGTTGCCAAAAAAAAATCCCAAATACATATGATTGAATATATTGCCGAAAATCCGAAATTTTATACACGTTCAAATCTGGTTAACATATCCGGTAATCCCATTAGCGGTGATTAATGCGGATCCGGATCCGGATTCGATATTCACATCATTCTGGGTAATCTACTTCATCTCACTGAAACTAACAATGTGATTTCTTTTAACTTGCACTGAGGACCGGAAAAGCTTGCAGAACCGCCTACTTGACTTCAATCACACATGATACAATCACGTCGGATGTGACAACGCCTAGCGGCTATACTACGAGAGCGTTGTCAATTTCATGGTGATGTCGGCTGATTACAGAGTTATACCAATAAAATATGATAAATATATCATTTCAATATTACCTTACATATTGAAAATATAAACATAATGACATTAAAATCATACAATCACATCGAATGTGACAACACCTAGCAGCTAGACTGGCAGTGAGCGTGTAGTCAATTTCATAACTGACTACAGAATTATACCCAATAAAATGCAATAAATATGTGTGTATATTCAATCGTTTCAATGTACACACAGACAACATAACATTAAAATCGTGAGTTTACATTTAATACGATTACATCTAAATCGTCAGGTTATACAGTTACAGACTTCACAAAAGTCTGCTGAATGGAAAAAAGTAGCATGTATTTTTTCTTTGTTAAATCTTTTTTTTAAAGATTATTTTAGAGGCTGGAGACAGCTAGAGACATAATTGAATTTCCTACTCTTTGAAATTTTTCTAAAAGAACTATTTTGCTACAGAAACCACATTTTATGTTTGGGATTATGTGATAGGGTTGTGATATTTCAACATCAACCTGGTATATAAATAAAACTGAAAATTAAGATTTAATTATGCAAAACTCATGATTTTAATGTCATTATGTTTATATTTTCAATATGTAAGGTAATATTGAAATGATATATTTATCATATTTTATTGGTATACTCTGTAATCAGTCGACATCACCATGAA